GATTAAAATAACTTGTTTGTCTTGTGGTCCTGTTTTTATTAACATAAGCTGTATAAGGCTTAAGAGGCTATGCTATACAACAGTGTAGTTATTATACAGTGATACTGTATTTTTTTTTGTTTCCGCCATTCTTTCATTTTGTAACAAATTTTACATCCTTATGGTGTCCAGAGAAGACTAGAATTGGAAAWAACTAATTAAGAACTAACAGAAATATTTTCAAACTGGTACTTGGTCATATTACGAATTTAATGTGTTTTCTGTGATCTTGCAGGTCATGTGGCTCAGGCACGTCACTGACAAACAAACATAAATTCATCAAGCAAAAAACACTCAGTTTAGTGCTATGACTGTGGCAGAAATAGTGTGCATACTTCTTATGACTGCACTTTTAAAAACTAGTCTRAAAGAACAGGAAAACACTCAGTTAAAAACCACAACGTTAGAGTCACATAAGTAATTTTCACTAGTGAATTACTTCAGTAATCAAATTTCAATATTTAAAGCAACATTTAGAAGCAATCTGATGAATATCAAAATAYCACCTTGTACAACTAAATCTACTACACATACCACATCAGAACCACCAAAACTGGATCACTAAGATATTTTTAAAAGAAAAAAAAAATCCTCAAAATCAAAACAAACAARCAAAAAAATAAAGGCCAATAACACACACACCAGAACCTGAATGTTGATAACTTAATTGGAGAATGAGATTTCATAACCATGTGATACAGGACTATGACAGTAATAGCTCAGATAYGAGTTGAAATAATTTTATGTAAGAAGGAACTACACCAAGCCTCTTAACCAACAGTAAAGAGGAACAGATTTCCATGGTCAAGAAAATATTGCACTAAAGAATGWCCAATTCCTCATTTCTGCTTCTTACTAGGCAGTGACTCTGCAATGAAAAAAGGGCTAACTTCCCAGTTAATTTCCAAAAGAATACCGAGAAAGAGGTACTAAGTAACTCTTACGTGGGAAAATATGAAGTTATAAATTTGAAAAAAACCCATCTAATAAAAATAGCTGGGGCGAAGGGAGAAATATAAAACTGTTGATTCCTGGAAGCAACAGTATATATGGCATTCCAGGACTGCTGCACAGTCTACAGACTGACCCTTGTAGGCACACACCACAGGGGCTGACAAACACAGGAAATACTCCTGGACACTCACAACACTTCTGCAATAACGTGCTAGGAACACTGATGCAAGCAAGGACTCGTTTCTGTACAATACACCTCACTTGGCAACTCTCACTTTCCAAATCTGGCAAATCTGAGTGAATTAAAACTAAAAAGTTACTGAAAAGTTTTGCAGACTTACGGAGGCTTAATAAAGGAGCCTTTTAAAACGTCTCTCATGMAACTCAAACATCTCTGTGAAGTGTTATCAAGGTTACTGTTACTTGCTATTATCACCAAAACTCATCTGTTTCTGTTGTTCCTACAGATATGCAAACACCTTTCCTGTATTCTTGGTGTCCAATCTCTCTTTCAATACACCTTTTATTAAACCTTTTTTTTTTTTTTTTTTTTTAGGGCATCTGCTCAAAAACCCCTGCCAAGAGCAGAATAGAAACATCCTCAAGGTTTCTTATGGGGTTGTTCATTAAAGGGAACAAGAGCAGAAACCTGTAAGAAAACCCTGTATGCATTGCTGGTTGTGAAGCAAAAGCAGTACACACAACATTAAGAAAATCATGGATTCCCATGAAAAAGGCATCCTGCTGCTGGATCACATGCTTCAGTCACTCATGGCATGCTGCTGCCTGGGGAGCTGTGCTGCTGCCAGGAAAATTACTTGCAAAGAGATGGAAAAAATGCAGAAGTTTTATTCTGAGTACACAAACAACTGACTTCTCAATTATTCTGGCTTCCTTCAGATAAGGTTTCTGTTCGGCGTGACAGAGATGAGCCAGCAGGCATAGATCATCTTTGCTGCAGAAGGGGAAACCCGTGGAGTTGCACTCAGAGGCAGCTCTGGGGGTGGTGCTGGCAAACACCCACTCCAACCAAGTGGATATGGGAATTCCTTTCCACCCCCAGCACATGGGAAGAATTATATTACAGAAAATTACAGTTTAAAAGATGCATGTTGGAGGTCTCTTGCTTACTAAGACTTATTCAAAATGTATAAAAAATACCCTACCCAMAAAAGAAATACTGTAAAAGAAAACTATTTTAAACTTCATTATAATRAATGAAGATGAAATTTTAATCACAGGCCTGGAAGCTGGCTTTTGCCTTAAGAATAGTAATAATTACCAGATTTCAYTCATTATGAGCAAACAGAAGACAGCAATTTGAAATGGCCAAATTACCATTAACATTTTATTTGCAGTATCACTCAGTTAAGACAAAAAAGGGAATGAGAAGATGAATCATTTAAAATACTTAATAGGTGGCCTATAATATATTATAAAACTATATTTCCATGATTAAACTAGCCCATTGTAGCTAAGTATCTATTAGACTTCACTCAAGAGATTTGAGAAGACACAAGTAACRTATATCAAACAGAAAAATGACAAAACCAGACATCCATCATTAGAAGAATTACAAGACTMGAAGTTTCTCCAAGTAATTTAAGGAAAGTTAAAAGTTATGGAAAAATTCCCTAACGTCAGGATTCAAGGAAGATACAGTAGAATAGAGTAAACCCTTAAAAAGRCAAAGACAATGTGAATGGTGTAGAAAAGGCTGTTGTTTTGCAAAAAGGCATAGGATGATTCAAAAATATCTCTTCAGAAATTACAGGGGGTCATTTGAGATTTTGGGTGAGCTGCTTTTCAGTCTACAAGTAACTAATTTAATGACTATATGCTAAACAAGAGTTCACCATTTTAATAAGCACTCAATATATTTAGGAGAGCTCTCTCTGAATGCATTTTATTTTATGTACTTTTCAAAAAATTATAAAATATAATGGAAATTCAAGAAGCCTTAGGACACTGCTAAAAATGGGCTGATATTTTAAAGCATCAAGCTGCCTATTATAGGTGCCCACACGTCCATTAACCTTCCACCAGCCCTAAACCATAAAACAGTAAAACTGATAGGACTCTATTAATAAASTATTTAAGAGTTGAGATATAATTARTGACAGTCAACAGTTCTGGGAAAATTAGGTTTTAGCATCAAACAGGCATGACTTCACTCTCTGATAAGATTARAAGTTTTCCTGATAAAGGCAACTTCAAAAAGGTAGTAAACTTTCCTGGTGTACTTTGGGTTTTGTGTACAAGACACCAACCTAACTGGTGGCATAAAGTTCCATTAGAACACAAACTGCCAAAGAGGAACAACTATTCAGATGATGCACCTTCAACAGCAAACGAGGGGAACTATTAATTTAATAGTTATGGCTCCTGTGGGGTCTGCTGCAAATTGAACTATGGCTGGCACTTTTCACATTTATTGAATATGGAAGYATAAATCAAGCATGGGTAATTACCATGGATAAGCACAAGAGTGGCAGATAGGTATAGGTAATCACATACACAACACATGACATCATTTGCATGATAATAATGCTTTCACATGAATTATTTTTTAACACTAGGAAATGGAACCTGTTAAGGAAGAGGCAGGGAAAAGTGGATCTCCATGGGAACAACCATTTGCTGGAACGACACACGTACGGAAGGCGGGTCCAGGTACGTCACTGGAAGCAGCTATTGAGTCTGCTGTTTCTCTCCTGAGATTTCACAAGACCCATTATTAATTACTGACAGACTAATAAATTACACTTTGTTGGTTTTTTTCTTTTAAGTTCAGTACCTGATATTTTGGCAGCAGCTTCAAGATCAAAGCTGGAAACATATTTGGTTTCAGAAGCAATAMTCATGACCACCATTCCCAACTGTTCTGGGTTAGGAGGTATTTTTAATGAGAATTTTCTTGTGATCCTTGGAGAGGCTGGCATAATGACACATTAGACATATTTGTATAAAGAGAACTTAAGAACTTGYTTTGCTGGGTGAAGCAAAACTTTCAAGAGTTGTTTCACTAGATGAAGCATTGGTCTTGCAATTTGCAAGCCTTTGTTTAAAAAAAAGGAGTGCATTTTTGATGGCCTCTCAGAACAATGGATCCTCTAAGGAAGGACACGTGCTCTGCTTGTTCTGAATGGGAAATTACTGTACAGCAAGACAGGCAAGGCTTAAAGACTATAGTTTAGCTGAGGACTCTAATTCAGAAAAGGTAAAAACAATTGTACAGATACATGGTGCACAGCATATACATGTTTCATTACAGTAAGGAGTTCACAGCACCTAAACTATTAAAAGAGACTATTCTTAAGCACTGGCTCTTTTGGGTGGATGTAGAGGACAGTAGATCAGTCTATGAGTTAGGTTATGCCTTAGGCAGYTTCTCACTGTCACAGGATGTAAAAGAGCATAGAGGTACTTTACACTCTGGATGCTCTCTGGTAAGTGACACTAGGGATGGCTCAGCCATGAAAACACCACACACCTTTCTCACATCTTTTCACTGTTCACCACCAAAGTGAAGGGAAGGACCCTGCACCGTGCAGCTCTGTTAACACTGAAAAGATAAACATGTACGGATGCTAGGACACACCTTTGGCTATGATACCTATGCTGATCAAGACAGCTTATATTCTTCATCTTTCAAGTAAGAGGACTTGGCATGAATGGAGAGGTTTCAGCAGGTGATATCTATCTAAATCCCAGTTTTACAGCCACTGAAAATACACAACCTCTGAAAAAATGGAATGAAAATAACCTCTTTTTCTTCTGGATGTGATGTAAGAAAATATGTTTCAGATTTTTACAGATGATTCTCCACCTACACCCACTCTTTCTGTCTCTCCCTCCCCTCCATCATTCACCCACCATGTCACCTCACACTAAGGATAAAGACAATCCAAACACGCCTGTTAAAAGAATACTTATGTGCACATTACATTCCTAACCTGAAACTCATCAAGTCTACTTAATTTATTCCAAAAGACAAACGGACTTACCCAATGTATCCTTCAGATTTTTAACCAGAGAACCTTTCTTCAAGCTGTTTTTTCGCTCCACATAATTTGATGGCACATATCCCGTTTTGTTGGCCGCGTTTCTTACCCTCCACCATGTCTTAGAATCATCTAATAGCCAAAGACGCTCATTTTTCTTGATGTCAAGTTCTTGGTCCTGCTGTGCAGTGTAATCCCACTTTGCAATAACAATAACTTCTTCTGTCATCTTTCATGGAGTCCTTCTGAAAAAAAATGTTAAAACATTATCCTCAGTAAATTATGTCATATAATTTTTACTCATTTTTTTCTTTGAATTCTTCTAAAACAAGCAAGAAAYGGGGTAGGGAAAAATGAGAATGCCATACAAGGAAAACCATCTTTTAAAAATAAGGGAAGTCAAAAATCTTCCTTGGCTTTTCTGCCACCAAAGTATTACAATACATTGACAGTATAATCTAGTCATAACATATTACATTCAGTTCCTCAGAATGTATATAAAATATTATCTGGATACATATTAACAGAGGTTGATTTATAAAATCCATTATGTTTTTGCATACAACATTATAAACATATCCTATGCATAGCATTCCAAGTTCTGACCTGAGAAAAAACATAAAATAGCAGTATTCAAAAAATGTATTTTCCTTCCACACTAGTTTCGCATCCTCATACTAACTTCACATATGCAAGTTTTCTGCATTTAAATGAAGTTGTCCATCTTTTTTAATAGAAAGGTAAGAAATAATTCAAGTAGTAACGCAACCCAGTGGGGAAGTCTGTCATCAATAAAAAGGTACTGTCTTAAGCCTTTGTTCACCGTTTTGTGCAGGCAGCACAAAACTGCCTTTAMGAGTTTTCACTCCCCCTTTGTTCACAGGAAGATCCCAGCTCAGCACAGTCCTGCACCAGGCATTAGTCAGCGGGGTGGAAAAGAGCACCCACTGGATTTAATTTCTTCCCTACATATCCAGAGTTCCATTAAGACTGAATAAGTTGTCTTTTTCTCACTTACCTGTGAGAAYAATGATCTTTTTCAAAGCGATTTGTCAGCTGCACAAAGACAGCTGCATGCCTCCACGTTTTCCTACGTTTTCCTACGCATCCCAGCAATTACCAGGAACAATGCGAGGGAGCACAATCGTGTGTGAGCACAATGCTAGTACCAAGTGACATTCAAATATATTATAATGCCAACCAAAACATGTTGATTTTACCTTCTAAATTCTGAGAAGTCAACGAAAATGTTCCAATGGCTGCTGTGGGGGTTGGGGGAGAGGGAAGTGGAGGAGGACAGAGAAAGTAGGAGGTGAGGACATATTTGAAAATCAATGAAGCAGGTTTTGGGGTTTATTTTTTAAATATAAGGTGCAGATCTACTTTTAACTACAGATTAGTAGAAAAAGGTGCAAAAGTACTTCAAGCTATTAATGTCCAAAGATCTTTGTAACATTTGACTTTGTTGCCCAGGTCCGGCAAGTCCACAACTCTGTCTTCACTGATACCTAACAGGTTAGGTGACAGAAAGGTAATTAAAAAAAAMCCAAACCTTATTTGGAAAATCTGTTCTGCATGTAAGTTATATATAAATATCACCTATATTCCAAAAGAGTTCCTTCAGCAGTCTGTAAACACACACACTTCCCCCTTTAGCTACAGTACAAACTGTGAAAACGGCAAGCCAGACAACTCATCTTATCTACTCTAGTAAAATTCAATGCTTTCCTTATTGAATATATAATCATAAAACATACTAGCAGACCCTATTATAAATTAAGAGCCTCCTCTTATCATGAAWTTTGTTTCCAGGAGAACATCATATAGGGCTGAGCTATGGTTTCTAAACCATTTGACAGCAAAGCTCTGGCAAGCACCTGCAACATCACCCCTCACAGCCAAGGCAAGACATGATTTTTGAAAATATGAAACTTAGATAAACAGGTTTAAGTTCTCAGTTTCCAATCAAAAACCAGAAAGAACATACAACAATTAAAACATTATGCAAATACGCACTTGCATAGCTGAGGTCCCCAAGAGGAGCTATGACACTCTGAACTGAGAAGCACAACCCTTACAGTKCAGACAGGATGTGACTTATGCAGTGGAACTGCCAGTTTTACAAGAAATAAGTCAGTAACCATTCAATCTTTTTTTTTTTCCCCATCTTTTTTTTTTTCCCTTCAATAATAATCCCATCAGACAATGACAGAGAAGACCCTGAGCTTTGGACCTCAGTCTCGAGTAAACTGCCCTGCTTTCTGACTGACATAAAATGGACAGAGAGCTTACAGGTCGATAAGCTGATGTAGCCACAGGGGACTGCAATCAAACATGTTCTGGAGTCTGGTGTCATCAATATAATCTATCTCTCCAATTTAGATTGGTTTATTTTATCTCAGCAATTGTAAAATGGTCAATTCTTACTACTCGTGGGGACATGGAGAACATGAAGAAATAGGACATCATCAATGCAGTTAGTTGATGTTGGCACTACATAGGCTCCCATTCTAAAAAAAAGCTATTTTCACAATACAGGCAAGTTAAAATGATCTATCAATATTACAGTATATTAGTAATAACCCCCCCTTCCCCCATCAGAAATAATATTTGGCTAGTGACTGGTAGAAAACCATTAAATTCTTCCTATACCTCTGAGAAAAAAAAAATTCAATTACTCCTATTGTAAGAGTTGTCAAATCTTTCCCCACAGTGTTGGSTGAGGACTGAAGCACAGGAAAAGACCATTTACCAGGGCTGACAATATCAACTGTTGTTCTCTAAAACTCACCAGGACGGGTTGCTCAAACCTACTCGATTTCTTAAATTCCCGTTAGTGTAGACATGTAAAACTGCCACTATGCCTCAGAAACAATGTCATTTCACAAGCAGACACCTTGCATGATGCAATTTTGCCAGAAGTATTCAGGTATAGTGAAGTCAAGTTTCTCAAGTGTCATGCTCACACATAACCCCTTTCAGCTTCATTCAGGTTTAACTGAATGTTTAGTGGTACAAGCTTTCCTTCCCAACTGGGAACAGGATTTAGTCAAAATGCATAATATAATTGCAGCTAAACATCTGTCCATTTAAACCTGAATATATGTGTGTAGAGTTTAGTTGTGTTGTGGTTTTATTTTTTTAGTTTTAGGTTTGTTCTTTTTTGGAAGGGGGGGAATTTTGCTTTTTGTTTTGGGGTTTTTTGTTTGCTTATTTGATTTTGTTTGTTTTTAATGTGGGAAAATACATTAAAGTTCTTAAAATTATTTTCTTATGATTACATTATTAGACTGGCTCAATCAAGGACAATATGGCTCTTCCCCTGACCTCTGCAGAGCTAAGATTTGCTAGTATGTGAATAAGGATACATTTGTTTCCCAGAAGGGGGGATGTAGAATTAATAGTTTTGAAATCCTTCTGCAACACAGCTGTGTGCCAAATAAAAGATTATAAGCAGACAACATAACTAGATTTGGGGGAAAACGAAAGGAAAAAACAGTAACACAGCCTCCCGAAGCATTTGAGAGTACCACAAAAACCTGACGCGGACTGAAAGCATGAAATTTCTTTACTGCACTGCTTACAGATTACAAAACAAAACATACCACAGTTCCCATAGATCTTGATGGCAGCATGAGATTCCTTCACATCAAGAAAACAAGTCCATTACTATTAAGAACATACAACATTCTGGAAAGCTCCTTCTCAAAAGGCTCAGAAGTCCTAGCACTGAAATACTAAGTCTTCTCCTACCGGACAGAACAACATTCCACCCCTGTTCAGAAAGCACCAGTGAAAAGCTTTGAAATACGCAAGGAACCTTAAGTGCATAAAATGCGACAGTCTTTCCTCCAGACAATATTGTTTCACACGACCTGGTTTTTACCTTACCATATCAGGTGGACATTTGATTTACTTTTATGGCAGTCCAACTTCCAACCTTAAAAACCAAACACAATCGAAAATGACACTGTTAAATGAGCAAACAGAACTCCACAACCCAGACCTTCAAAAAGTAATTCTTATATTAGCCACATGACCAATACGCAACTCCAACTCTTGTTAATACAGCAATTCCTTCACAGTTATTAGTCCTACAAAGCTAATTTACCAACACTGTATCTGCTGAAATGTTAATGCTAGCACAATTTAGATTGACATAACCTATTCTCAGCCACTTGTTTCTTCTCTCCAGTTTAGGTTTTGTTAGGAGTCTTGTCTTCAGTGGCAGCTGCCCTACTGMAGAAGCACACGGGAAAATTTTTCTACACACAAATCACCCTTGGGAGAGAGGGGAAAACTGAAAAATTGCCTGGCCAAGAAGGCAATGAAAAAAAAMCTCAGCCTAAGTTAGGTCAGTTATGGCTGTACTGACAGGCTTTTCAGACAGGGTAGGAACATTAACCGTATGACAGGATAAAGGCTGACATTGGTGCAATATCTACTACTGTAGCTTCTGTACAACTTCATGAGAAGAAAGTCCAGAAAGGAAAAGGACATGTTCAATAAACTATCAACAATCCAATAACTTAGCAATGACAGGAAAAAAAACTTAACAGACAAAAAAACACCTATACCATTTCCAAGCCATGCTTAAAACTGAACCATGCAAGTAATATTTGAGATTATAGAAACTTAAACATAAAGGAACTTGAGAAAGTTTATTCCAAAAAGCTTGTAAATCTRCTAGTGGTTCTTCATGTGAAAGGTTTACCCAGCTGGTGTCATTTTAAGTATATAGAATTGTTACACAGATTTCATTCTCTTGTTACCAGGCTAGGATTTCAACCCCCACTCTTTCCCCTTCCCCATATAGGACTAATATGATAAATAATGATAAATAGGAAAGGTCCCTTATCAGCATGCCACCTGAACTAGAATCTTCTCCTACAGACTGACATAAGTTCACACTATGGCTAGTTTAATGACCTGGTCCAGCGGGCAGAATGTTGTATGTTCTTTTATCTTGCCCTCAAAAGGAAGGCTCACAATTATRTCAGGGTTAGTTAAGATAGTGCAAAGAGGAGGTATGTTTGAGCTTTAAAGATGCAGTGAGAAAGGGAACAGTTGCTCTCCTTGTTCACAATTTGTTTTGCAAAAAGGAACATGACTGAAAAATGACTGACAGTAATGTCTGAAATTTAATCCCTCACCAAGGGAACAAGCAAAAATTCTAATAATAGTCAGTGCCAATTGATATAATAGACTGTTCTGGAATTGGATGTCTTCCTAAGAMACAGTGAAA